CTGGGTACTGGCATGGTGTATTTAATGCAGTACCTACATTTCAGTCGCTCAGAAGTCTAACAGCCACATACTAGGAGGGCAAGTGCAGGGAATGATCTCCATGTAAGAGCTTTTCTTCAGAACTTCAATGTGAAGTTTTATGAGTGGTCATCATGAAACACATGCAGTATCTTGGTACCATGCATTTACAGTTTTTTTTTTTGCTGTAAAAATATAGTCGTGTGGCCACAATTCCCCAGCCTTCAAGACATCCGGCCTTCAAAGGAGATTTAAAACCGAGGTCCTGACTCTCTGTGGTCATTAAAAATCACGTTTTTCGAAAAGAGTACGAGTGTTACTCTGGCCAAATTTTCCCATTGGCCTTTGCCAATCATGGCCTCCTAATAATCTCCATCTCTGAACTGGCTTCATCACTCTGCTCTCCTCCCCACTGAGAGCTGGTATGTGGGGAGTGTACTGGTGCACTCTGGCTGGTACTGCATCATCCGGGTGGGGCTGCACACTGGTGGTGGTGGAGGGGAGTCCCCATTACCTGTAAAGCGCTTTGAGTGGAGTGTCCAGAAAAGCACTATACAGTATACAGTAAGTATAAATATTTATTTTTTTTCTGTTTGCCAAGTGTTGTTGGCTGTTGAGCACGTGTGTTCTTGGTTTGGTGTGCAATAGGGATCCTCTGTGAGTTTTCATTTGGTCAGTGAAGAGGGTTGCACCTGTCCTCCCTCTGCAGTTACTGTATCTCACTGGGGCCCTGGTTTCACACTGTTCAGACACTGGGTGGAATTCAGTGGAAGTGTGCTTTGCAGTGCCTGCTCTTCTACTGAACAACCTGAACATCAATCATGTGTCATTTGTACAGTTGCACAAACCCATTAATAGGGCTGTAAAATAGCCAGTTCAGTGACATCTTTATTAGCCTTTTAATGAATTCGGTAAAGAAAGCAGAGTTATGTTTTGTCTATAACAACAGTGATGTGTGGGTTGCTTTATTGCTTTGGCCTTCACAGACTGCTGAACATGTGGAAGTAGATTTGAACAAAAGATATTCTTTGTTCTGGTTTTCAATGCTTTTAAAGCAGTAATGGATGTCACTGTGACTGAAAGAAGGATAATATGTTTATTTTCTCTGTTTTAATGAGGGGTAGTCCCATTATAGTTAATAGTCTTGATTTTGCAGCATGAGAGGCAAAAACTTCAGATATGTGTCCTTGTCAAGGCAAATAGTGTACAGTACCAGCTCATCAACACTCCCACATTTCAGAAATAACTAAAGCTTTTACTCTCAACTGCCTCCTGGGTGATTTGAAAGTGTTAAATCCTTCAATTTTCTGAACAGAACAGAAATTTTAAATTAAAGCTCCCCTTTTAATATGAGAAGAGTTTCATTGCCTGGATGCCTTTTGAAAAATTCATGCTGAAAGACAGAAGCTCCATGATTACAGTCCTTCCAGTGCTGTCCTTGGGGACTTTTGTTGGCTTTTCCTTGGAGATCGGTCAACCAGTGACGCCCTGAGGTAAAAGGCAAATATATTTCTCATTAGCAGGTATTAGCCAACGTCCCACAACATTGCATTTGCCAAGCTGCATAACTGGGAATCACATTCGAAACAGCAGCTGCAGGGGGAAAATATTTCCTCAGATCTGTTCTTGGGCTTAAATCAAATGGAGTCCCACGTTTCTCCAACTACAAGTTTGATTAAAGATAAAGAAAAAATGCAAACAAAAAGCTCCCTCAGTCAGTGCTTTGGTGTTGGTGATGAGCCTGGGGTTTTCAGCGTCTGGAGTCGCGCGATTTCTGCTTTCTGAACTACAGTAGTTGAGTCCCTTTACGGTCTTTCTTCTGTTGGCTTGCCTGTGTGCCCTCCTTCTGAGTGTAATCTCCTCAGTAATTCTGTATTTCACCAGCTTATGCATTGTGTAGCTGAGCCGCTGGTACAAAAAGACTGTAAGACTTCAAATCTTTGCATGAAGAGAGCTAGATACATACTAGGTGGTGGTATGATTCTTATTATTTTTCCCTATTACCTAAAAAATCTGCCTGCTACCAACTGCCACTGCTTTTTGCAATATCACCAATTTAAAGAAAAGTACAGTTTATCAGTGTATGAAACCCTTGGAAACATATTTTTTTAGAACATTCTGTGGTGAAGAATGTTAAGCAATTGCGTTGTAGATGTGATCCATCCAAGTATTTATGGAAACGTGGGTGAGGTGTCTTGGATCGGTTACATTTTTTAAAATTCTTACTATCAGGCCTTCCAAGATCACCTATTAACTTGCTTGTTTCATCCAGGAATGTGTTATTAGTTTATGAAAGTAACCACTGCGAGAAATATATTGCATGCAAACATAGTATGGTTTGTACTTTGATCGCACATGCAAACAATATCCTCTGACTGAAAAAGGCCTCTAGATATTTGCTATGGTTGATTTGACAGACATCTCATGCTGTGAGATTTAAATTATGAATAATCTACCCAAAGAGGATGTGGTTATTAAAAATGTATTCTTTTTTTCCCCTTATTTTAACAGGGAATGCCAATAAGCATTTAAAAAACTTTGGCTTTGACTATAAAGCAGCCCAGCTGGGGAACAAACAAAAGACATGTTTGTTTTATGGTCTCACAGTCACTGAGAACATGAGATTAACACTCACAGAGTTTTGTTTCAGTGGTAGAGGATGCATTGTTTTTTTTGTGTTTACCCAGCTACCATTCTTGTAACATTTAGTGACAGAGCTGATGCATACTTTTATTTAAGAAGTGAATGCATATAAAGACATAAATGAATATGTAGTTCCCAAGTTACAAATTCTCAGTTCAGTATGAGTTTTCAAGATTTGAAAAATATTTACTTTGCAAAATGCGTATGCATCATTTCTTTTCAACACAATGAGAAGTCAGAGGAAGGGAATGAATGCTTTTATAAGGCACTGTAGACCCTAAGCACTTGATGTTTCAAATCAGTCACACCAAAATGCAGTGTATTTAGTGAACCCTGTTTTGATTCAGTCACCTCATATACAATATCCATTTGTTCACTGAGTTTGACGCATGGCTTGTATTGTTATCCTATTCAAGGGATGGAAACTGAAGTCACATCTAGCCCACACAGTGGTGCCTGGCAGATCGCCTCTCAGAAAGTGTTGTGTCTTAGTAAGATGACAACTTAGAAGCCATTATTGGAACTGGTTGTGTTGGGATTATAGCCTCTCAGAAGTGCAGAAATACCCTGTCCTAGTACTTCATTTGCAGCTGCCTGTGGGTTGTGTGTCTGTGATGCCTTCTCTTCCTGTTTGGTTTTGCTCTCGGAATGCTGCCTATTTCCAGTCACTCCCTGCACAGCGACGTTCCCATCATCTTTCACCAGCTGCACTGCCTGGCTGCTCGATGGCTGGAGGGGGTGGGATTCGGGCATCGCTGTCTGTTTGCACACAGGTAGAGTACTCCCTGGTACCAGTCATTAATTAGAGATCTGGAACAGTGCCTTGGAATGCCTCCTGCTTTGTTTGCACCTGGGACGCATTTCCTTAACCAGTTCGTAAAACTTAATGAAGTGTACAGTAATTAGGTGCAAGTTCAGCAACGGGGAAATTAAACTGATGGAAAAGATATTAAAACATGGGTTATGAACTTTAGTCTTGGCTGTTGACACAGTGATTGTAAATAACCAAGAGCGGTGCTTTTTACCCAGACATGAAAGTGCAGATCACTTGTGTACTGTGTAGTGAATGTCACATATCCTGATACCTTACGGAAACACCATGAGAAAGCACAAACCTGGTCATATGCTTCCACTGTGAACAACGCAGGCTGCAGACGTCTCGGAGATCTGCGAGGCATTGATTTCTGGTTTGTAAAAAGGTCTCATCTATGTGAGTATGCCCAGGCCATTCCCATTCCTTGTTTCAGGATCTGCTGCCACAGGTTGTACATTATTTAATCCTGTTGGAGTGCATCTGCAGCTAACTGTGTGCATCAAATCATTTACTTCAAGGTGCACGGTTGTAGTGTGGCACACTCAATAGCAATGGGTAGAAATGAGGCTGTCCTAATGCATCGCCACTAACTGATGGCCAGAGTGATTTGTAGCAGAGTCCCTTAACATCCTTCCTTGTTCTCATCAATCATCCTTGACCTATTGGGAACTGACAGGAGTCCTTCCATTTCTTTTTCTCATTCTTCTGCTTGTTTGCGTTGCCGGATGGCCCATTCAGACCTGTGAGTATTCTTGTCACAGCTACAAGAATGGCGCTGGGACTCCAGCACGCGGTCATCAGCACGCCGGGCTTCCGTGGATAGCGGAAGGGCGCCACCTGGAGGGCGATAAATCTGCAGACACGGCCCGGCTGCTTTTCTGCAGGGAGGAGAAGGAGGGCGCTTGGCGTGCTGTTGCAGGAAACCCAGAGCGCCTCTGTCAGAGCGCGCTGAGTCTCTAGTCCCACACGGATTAGTGTCGCTCGGCGGGGTGTCCATGTCCCTAGGAGGTCTGCTCCCCTGGAGAGCCCTTCACCACAGAGGCCTGCTTCCCCTCGCCTTCATCAAATAGGAATACTAACAAAGTGCAACAGAAGCGTTTCTAATGGGGGAACAAATTGTGTGAATATCTCCCCTCGCTTCACCTCAGGCAACGTGTATTACTCTGCTTTCCCATTCTACTAACTTGATTTGTGCGCTGGGCTGATTTTGGGGGGGGGGGGGTTATTCATGTTTGCATTAAGAACAATCAGTTCCAAAACCTTAACATTGTTGTATTTGAGTACGTATTATGATAAGTCTTACAGTAGGCTGACATTTTATCCTGATAGATGTATTTAGGATGAATAAAAGGAGACAACTCCTTACGCAGAGATAAGCACACGTCAGGGGTAACTATTTGAAACTGGGTGTTTGGGATCCTTCAAGTAAAGGGCTGGATAAAGTTTGGGGATTAATTAACCATTAAAAAAACAAAAGAGCCAGAATTCTCTGTTTTAAAACCTTCCTCATTTCTGTATGTTGCAGGGTGGACAGTTTCACCTGAACAAACAGCTTCAGATATTTCAGGACACACTAGGCAGGTCCCAGCAGCTATGTGAGACCCAGTAAGTAAGTAAGTTTTATTTTGTTACATATTTTGTTATATAGATTTAACAGATCCCCCATTCGTCTTGTTAGTGCCAAGACTCTTGAAAGAAAGTATTGGAGTAATCAAGCTTCAATGAATGATATAGTTAAGAGATTAGCTTTTACTATGTAAGTGAATATACTGTAATGCAAAGGAACAAGTAATAGGTTTATTCCATGCTGAAAAAAAGAAGAAAGAGAACACAACGTTTCGGCCGTGGAGCCTTCTTCAGGTGTGAGAGAGACAGGGCAGTAGGCAAAGGTAGAGTAGCGGGAGAACAAAGGTTGGGAGGGAGGAGGAGTGAGAGGCGGGAGCAGGGGACAGAAAGAGAGGCCAATCAAGAGGTGTGAAGTCAGAATGGGTGCAGAGAGGTGTGAAATGAAACTTCCAATGAATGGAGAAAATTTAAAAGAACAGTAGTCTGTCGTTAAGGGAAGGGAGAATGTGTGATCCTAACTGCAGAATAATTTTAGTTTCGGTGGTCTTTCTGATGTATGAGTTCGGAAAACCGTCTTTGAGAACACAGACGGAGAGATTAGTGTGGTTGTAATACTGTATGCTGAGCTTTTTACTGAAATAATGAAGGATTACGGACAGAACACTGATCTTCAAGGAACTGGGCTAAAAGGGCTCTGAGTAGGAGGGCCCCTGACTGCGAAGTGAGGTGTTCGTTATTCAGATGTGAAAGTGTTGTGAAATGAGCGAGCCTACAGAACAAGCTCAGGGGAAATCTGCAGTTTTACACTGTCAAGCTGGATCTGCACCAGTGGCAAACTTCTTGATGGGCTGAGGCGTCACAGAATCGTCTCTAAACCTCTGTTCGCTGCAGTCCCGGAGTTCGCAGTGGTAATGGGATGAAGGGACTCTGAACTTCCTTGAAGGCTCTGTCTGTAGGCATTTCCCAGGCCTCAAGCCTATAGACTCTGGCACTCATCTAACTGAGGTGATCTCCCAAAGAAGAGATTAGACTGAGTTCCCTCAGGCCAGCCCACGTTGTTGGACTGATTCCACTGAAATCGATTTTCATGCCTCAGTGCATCACTTGTTATAACATGTATATATATAACTTGAAAAGAACTATGAAAACAAACACAAAACATGCTAGCACAGCAACCCTACTGATTAATTATGGGTTTTATTACAGAAGTGATTAATTTCAACATGAAGGGAATTTTCTACCACAAGGCTGCTTGGGCCGATCAATCTAAAGAACACCATAAATCCCAGCAGCAAATACATGGCCTCAGAAAAGGGGGGAAATGGGAAAAAAGAGAAACAAGCGGCAGAATCCAGTTCTATTTTTATCTTAATCCTTTTTTCACATGAAAAATTTTCTGTCACTTTTCTACAGCAATCTTAACCAGCACGTTCAAAAACTACGCAAAAACCACCTGGGATAAACAGAACAAGAAAAAAAAACTAAACTCCAGTACATCAATCCTGGAAGAAAAGGAGTATGTCAGTTCTGCAGAGAGATATAATACATTGTGACTACCAGATCCTGTAAGAACAGCCCCAAGTAAATGACTAATATATCTGTCCATTCATTATCAGAAAGCCACTTGTCCCAGAAGCATGGGGCACAGGGTGGCTGTACCCTGCAGGACACATGCAAGCACACAGGGAGAATTCAGAGAACCCAATTAACCAAGCCAGTATGCCCCAGGACTGGAAGGTGGGTGGACACCCAAGTGCTTGGAATGGGAAGAACATGAAAACGCCTTATGTAAGAATATTGGCTAATACTGCACATATAAAAGAGAACAAGGAATCCATTGATCTGAGATTGGAGATACTAGGGAAAAGGGTCAAAGCTGTGGAAAAGCAAGCCAGTTCTTTAAAGATGTGATGTGACACGGCTTAGTTAAACAGAACATGCATATACGCATGGCAAGTCCCGTAAGTTTCACCAAGTCTGAAAAAGTGCATTACAAATAGAGTAAGCAATCAATGTGCCACTCTACAGAATGACATAATGTTCTTAGAACAACCTCTGATAAAACCACTTCTGAGCTCGGCTCTGGCAGCCAGCAAACAGCATTAACTGCTTCCAATGCAGACTTGTACAGTGGACTTTGATGCATTTTTAGTCCCCGTCGCTGTCAGATTATGGAGCGAGGAAAACCTTGGCATATGTCTTATTTCCCGAACAAAAAAAAATGCAACGTACAGAAGGGGAGAGCGCGGATAATTAAGTTGTAAGCAGACACAGGGAAAGATGATACATTTGGAAAAGATGTAAGATGTAGTTATGTCAAAACGCAAGCAAAACTCAAAAGAGGACTCCTTGTTTTTGCTTGAATGTTTTTGCACACTGCATCCAGTAACACAGAAGACCTCATCCCACCTCCCAGTCAGGGTTTGAACCACATGCAAGATCTTTTTTAAATATTAACCTTTCACCTCATGAGAGTACAAGTCTCGAGGGTGGGTCACATGGGTGACTGGAGAATCGAGGATTAGAGCAAACTTCAAAACCAGATCAATTTCAGACTCAGCTCCGTACTGCAAAATGTTTGCCCCCTCACTGAACATACTGTTAGGCTGCAGTGGAATCAAAGTTTCTGTGCTGCATGACCTCGCCCCCTCAGGCTCTCCATGGTTTCGTGGCTGAAACGGTCTTTCCAGGGTGCTAGGCAGAGGGACAATTTGTACCAGAGCACAGTGGCTCATTGAGCCAGAGCTCATCCTGGTTGCTGTAGCGTTCAACAGACTGAGAGAGTGCGGACAACTGAATTTTTTTTTTAAAAAGAAAGATCTATTTTTGTACGTGGTAATTTGAGCGCTTGTGTTTGCTCACGTGGCTGTTCACTTTTCTCGGCTCGATGTGTTTGAAAATCATTAGAGCTGTCTGACTGTCTGAAACTGAGCCTTACTAAAGACTAAATCCAGAGCTAAAGCAAAGCATGCAGGTTAATTCTCATCAAGGTTTCATTTAATAAGAGAGCAGTGAAGCACAATTCCAAATGGCAGAACAGTGCTGAAACACAAGTAGACTGCGAGACACCATAGCAAAGAGAAAGAAGTGCATGATACTGCAGCATGCAAGCTCGCCGGACTGATCTTCCCTTGAGGAAATCACTGTACTGTAGTGCTGTGTTTCACTACAACACAACATGGCTGGGTACCACTCACTCAGTCATGGAAAACGAATTCATAATGAGAGAAACAGTGTTCTGACAAACTAAAGATCTCAAACAGAATGATTCAGAAACTGGAAATGGTTTATTTGCCTCAGTCATGGTGAAAAACACCTTTCCTATTGTCCTGAACTACTGGACCAAACACAACACCAAACACAAAATGGAGTGGGCTGAAACACTTGTTTATCTGGTACCCTGGCTTCAAGTACCACACAAAATAATTATTTTTATTAAGTAATGTTAGAAAGGTGGACAATGGTGTTGTTTCAGAGGCTAGTAATGTCAAGGCATCATGGGTCTATAAGGTAGATTCACTCTGTATTCTGTGCAAACTGTGCAAAATGTTGTTGGCTTTGTGTTCATCAATGATAATGTGTAGAATTTCCACAAAACGCAACATACTAATATACCAAAGAACTGTTTGTGTAAACTTACTCAGAGCCATACTTACTTTGATTGTTCGAGATGGGAAATTTGCTTTGCAGGCAAGTAAAAGGTAAAGTAAACCCAGAAACATAAAGAAACATACATGTAAGGTTCTAAACAAAAAAGAAAATATATAAATGAAGTAAAATATTGTTGCAGACTATGGTACTGTAAGTGACTCTTAGCGTGTCTCAAAGAATCTAGAGACAAAGGGTACCAACATTTCCACTTCTTAGACGTTCAGACCAAGGGATATTTTCTTAGTTTGCTGGGTGTGAGGCACACTGATCAAAAGAATCTTATGGATAAGTTTAGTTAATTAAGTTCTGGGAAAGTAATTAAGTGTGTCAAAAGCGTAGGATAAAAGACAGGAGGGACTGAAGAGGAGAAGACAAAGAGAGAGAGGGGAGGCAAAAGGACAGAACATTAAGCATGTGCCAGATAAGAGGTCCTTATCCAGATCATCAATAAAGACCAGATTGGAGCTAAGCATTTCAACCTTGCTAAAAGAGTTTGCTATTCTGTGTTTTTAGGAACTCTGATTTCCTGAGTGAAGAATCCCTCGGTTAAAAACGACCTCTCCCTATTAGTGGCTGCATTTTAGAACAGAGAGATAGATTCCTGTTTATTGTGCATAGAGGAAGTTTATTGTAGGTTGTATTCTATTTAGTTTAGAAGGCAGCTTGTTTCTTACTCTGGCCTTTGTAGGTGTTAAGAGTTGAATACTTGGTCTGAGATTTTTCTGTGTGGTCTAGACATAGGCCTCTGTGACACCTTGTCTGTAAACTTGTACTACAAAGGTGAAACTTGTGTGTTGTATGTTTGTTTTGTGTAATGTAGTGTGTGTATGGTCATTGTTAATAAATATTTGTTTAACCAAGGGTGCCTGAATTAATGGTCTTTTCACCAGAACTGTGCCAGAGAACAAAGAATTAATGTGCCTCTAACTATACCAACTGCTCAGGTATATTCTTGGAAAAATCATCTCGGCCAGTAACTGATATTTGTCATTTTTCTAACCCACCACTTGTGACGATATACAATTGTCCAGATTACACAGGTTAATAGCCATGGGAATAAAAGATAATTCAGCTCTGTTGCATTTGGCTTACATCCATTATTGTCCATTGCATTAGAACACACACATATTTAATGAAAACCCCTCTGAACAAATGTCAAAAAGTCATTTTGCTTGCATAATTTGGGATACTTTTTTTATATTTAAACACAAACCTAGCTCAGAAAATGTTTCTTCCTGATTTGCAGTAAGGAATGTGATCTTTGCCTTTTTTTTATCCAAGGAGTCTTCAGTCCTGGTCCGGGCCCTATCTGTAAGCCTCCTAAATCTCTTCAAACCAGCAGGACCTGCTGGGCTCGGAGAATGTGTTCAATTACTTCAATTAAGTCAATAATGAGCTAATTTAAATCATTAACCGAGGCGCTGAGCTGAAAACCAGCCAACACCCAGCCTCTCCAGAACCAGCATTAGACACCCCAGTGTGAAAGGATTTATCCAACAGTACTTACAGACATGAAACACTACATCATGCTCTTGGAAAGACTAAAAAACGACATAAAAACAGAGCTGGCGGTGTGTTCAGCTCTGATGATGTTCAGTGGGATAGCAGAGAAAAATGGGAGTTCCGTGCGAACCGCCTTACTGGAGAGTGACACCAGCTAACACACTCAGAATGAATGAGACCATATGTTTTGCTTGCCTTGTACAGATCAATCCTGCGGAAAATCTTGGGAGCTATCTATTTAACCAAAACATGACATCTTATGGAGATAGTTGGAGAGGCTATTAATATCTGAAACGAAAATGCGTCCCGATCGAGTGTCAAGCAGACTACATAGATCATTTGTTCCTATCTGCCAAGGCTTGGGTAGCTGGAGAGTGAGCAGTGCCATCGCCTTTTCTCCGCTGATGGATGTCTGTCTGGTGTTAAGGGTCTTGTAAGGAGTAAGTGGCAGCACATCCATCGTATCTGAGCACCATCAGGCAAGAGAGGGATTGCCTCTGCACTGTTTCTGGTGGAAAAGAAATGAAAACACCAGTTATCTTTACTTTCTCCAGCCCCCGCCAAGTGGATTTGCCAATCGGATCAGCCCATCACTAAGACCAGCAAACTCTAGGCAAACTCCATGTGCCTTCCTGCAAAACATGCCGTGCCCATGGCAGATTGGTCACCGGCTGAAGCAGTGCCAATGTCAAGCTACAGGGGTGGCAGCTACACGGTAGGCCAAGTGCCCCCAGGGTCCCGCTAATGGTATGCTGTTGCTTGAGGAATCCGGCAGCAATTAGGAATTAGGAATTGGCAGTCTGGTTATTGCTAATAAAACTTCAGGACTGGAACTAGCAACATCCAGACTCCAGTGCAGGGCTCCAGTGCATATAGTAGACAAGTCCTGTTTTCAGCTGCACTGCTGCCTTCTACAGCTACAAGCCAAAGACTAGACTTTGTAGTTTGACATTGCTAATTGCTAATTACATCTGCTCCGGATTGCTGCCAAAAGCTTTGTTTTTTAATATAAATTTCTATGCATAATTAATACCATTCTTGTAATTTTCCCATGAATATTTTTGTGTCAAGTCCTGCAAAAGCCAGTACAGAAAACCTTTTATGCTGTTTCCACTTCCGTTGGTAACCTGGGTAAGAAAAAGGGTGAAAGAGTTCAGCATCATCAATATATCATGATGGATAGCGATTGTGGAAGATCCACAGTAGAACATTTTGAGGGATTTTGCATCTATATTGCTCAGTGTAAACCCAATTGTAATGTGAGAACCCCAGCTATTTGTATTCTGGTGAACAGACAGGGATACAGTAGATAGTATACATGATACACAGACAGTGACTTCCAAATGGAATAACAATGGAATTGCTCTCTGCCTCCTAATGGGAGAGCTCACACTGACACTGCTTACCACTCACGCCTTGTTATTAAACAATACCGAGAGCCTTTATAAAGGCTGGAAATGCTGTTGGTTCCAGAACTCATTGATTTTATACCTCTTGCTGTATTTGGGAGTAGTATTTGTGTTAATGAAGTCTAGCCAGAAGTCTCTTATTGACACGCACATGTCCAGATCTCAATTCTCTTCGGCTCTTCGGTTGTTCTTTTTTCTGTCTTTGCAAATAACTGCAGTTCGTCCTGCTACTTTTCCAGCTTGTCTGCAATTTCAAAGACTTCCAGTAACAAATTAAACCTACACGGGATAACAGAAACAGGATTTGTTGGAGATCGTGCAAGGTTGCATCTTTTAACAAGACCCTGAGCGCTTCCTGATACATTACGGATGAGTCCGTGGAAACACAGCTTCCTTTTTGTCTGACTTCAAGATCCAGACTTATTTCAGCTAATGACCTCACATAACCCTCCCCCCCCCTTCCCTTGGCTAAGTTTACACTGTAAGCTTTCTTTTGCTGGAGTGGGTGTTAGTCGTGCATGTCAATGAACACATGATCGGTATTGTGATGACTTCTGATACACTTGATGCAACTATGCAGAGCAGTTGCTTAGGTATAACATGAGTGAATGCCTGCCTTGAAGTCTTTAGTATTACAGTCCCTGAGATAAGGGAGCACCACACAGTGCTATATGTGGTCACATTGCTTGTCTAAACAGTATCTTTATGAAAATTCACCACAGTTGGTTTTTCACATTGCTTTCCAGAGGTGGTCCTGCTCTGGACCACATGCTTGCTTCATAAATTTATCATATTTTTCTTTACACCACTTCCCTCTGCAAGCCTTACCATGGTTTTAACATGCTTCACTACAGTTTTCTCTCCTTCTACATTTTTTACCGCAGCATTTAGCTGTTTTAAGCACTAAAAATGCCTGTTCTCTAAATACCGCAGTAGCATTTTTTCAACAACCAATGAATAAAACTGAAGTCATTCTGATTTTAAGCCAAGGCTGCAGCAAATTCTGTGTTTTACAGTTTGATATTACAGAAAATAAATTTTCCTCTTTGTGTTTCTTCTATCGCTTTGCTCCCAGGGGTGCTTTGTGGATCAGGGTCTCAAACCATCATCCATTATTTATTCTTCCTCTGATTTTCATTGGCCCAGCAAGTAATTCTTTACTCCAAAGATGTTTTATATTAAAAAAAAAGAAAATCATAATATTATGTAAGCCTCTTGGATTACCACAATGGATGGGGTCTCTGTGTTATGCTATTAATATGTTATTAATTGAAACCACAGACAGACGTTAGGGGTTCCATTAACTAGGCAGGGCAACAGACTCTCACTGATTAAAGGGGATATACAATGCTGTTGCCCCTTAGAGATGTTTAATCCCTCAGTTGATACATTTGTTTTTGTTTTGTTTCTTAACTGCCTTGAAAATAAAGAAGATAATTTTGTCGCCTCGCCTCTCCCTTTCAGAATTAATTTACAGCTTTTTGAAGAGGATAGCAACTCCTTGTTAACAAACAGACTAATAGAATTGTCTTGATCTTGACAGAGTTGGAGGGCCGCCTGGCTTTGCGGAGCTAAGCCCTTCTCTGCGAAGCAAGTTGAACGCCCAGAAATCACACAGGACACAATTCGATTCGGAGAAACAATGTATGGCAAAGTCTGCCTCTAACCCCACATTGCCTCCAAGGGCCTGCAGCAAACACACACCTCATCACAGGACACCACGAGAAAAACATCTCGACAAGTCAACCAAAAGATGAATAAAGAAAAAAAGAAAAACCGTCCCTTTATTGGTTAAGTTCTGCATTTTTACAAAACGCAGTGAACATTTTAGCTTCTCTGAAAAACCCTTATGAGATAGATGGAGAGAGCCAGCTGACATGGAAATATGATGAACATACGGGACAGGCCTAGCAGAACCGTGCAGCCCTTTGTTTTGCAATCATGTTATGTTATTGTTTTATTTATTCCAGCCAAGCAGGGGACCTGGAGAGCACCCTGGGGTGGTATTTCAGCTTCATGCCACACATACAGCCGTCTGCTTTTCCACGCTGTCCTTTGGCCTTCCCTGGTTTGCTGAACTGTTATGCGAGTCTGCCTAAGGATAATGTAAGGCAGTGTTTGGTTAATAAGATGTCATTGCATACACGCAGGAGAAAACTCATTTCACAGCTAACAGGTTTCTCAGTCTGAAAGTTCTCCCCTCCCCTCAGCAGCAATCTAGTACAAATGAGAGAAATGGAAGCAATAAAAAAAATGTTTCATAGCCAGCCCCATTTTTTGAGACCACTTTGAGGGTTTTGGTGCCCTGCCTTTAATGAGCATTTTAATTTCTCAGGGTTATCATACACGCTCTGGCTATGATTGGAAATGTTATGTTTCTTGTTCAGTGTCAGGACGTTTAAAATGAATTTGCATGCAAGAGATGCAATACCAAGTTAAGGGAGGACTAAATTGCGACTGAAGTCTGGAGTGTGAGAATTGGAAATGAATGAGAAAGAATAGCTACAGTAATTGAAGTAACTTCTCTCTTCTTTGGGTTCCTGATAGGGAAATATGTTTTTTTCTAATAACAGCACAATTCTGAAGAGGCAAGAAGACAGTTTTAAAACCCTGGACAAAAACGGAGAACGTATTTCTGTCCCCATGAGTTGTCACGTGTGAAGCCCCTAGTTAATCTTATCCTTTAAAAAATAGTTTAATCGGGTCAATCTATGCTTTCTGATTGATGAATCCGACAATCCTCTGTAATTGACTGCAGTAAAGAGCTCTCAATCTTGGAAGGGGGACTGAAGGGCAAGATTGATTGCTTGTGACCCCTGTATTAACAAGGGCATAATTCATTCTAAAAGATCCCGTCTGCAGCGCCGGAAGACGGATTCACTGCCACTGCAGTTTATTGTATTTTCTTTACCTGTAATCATTTCCCACTTGAAGTATTTTTGTTTAAACAATTCAGCTTTGCAGGTACAGAAAGGCTGGAAGTATAAAAAAGGATGTTTTGTATCAGCGCTGTCAAAAAATAGGTCAGTGTAACTGGGGAACAATCTCGCTCAGTGTGTCTTTTCATTTTGCTAAAATGGTGCCGTGGTGAGGCCACATTCGTCCCCGTGTCACGGCAGAATGTTTTTGCTGTTGTTTCTTTCTGAGACGGTACACACCCTGCAGCTGCAACTTGCACTGCAGAGCAGCAAGGGATAGACAATAAAATACTGTACAATGGCAAGAATGCTTTAAACGAATCTCAGAAATTAGATGCAAGTTTCAGTTACTACCAGTCTCATTTTTTATTATAACTGACCTCTCCACAGACAAAAACGATTGCCTTTTTTTTTTTTCCTCCATGCACATTATTTTCTGGTCCCTTTTTCATTAGCGGGCAGCACGAATAGGGGAGCAGAGCTGCCTTGTGCTCTTCAGCAGCAGATGTCGCCCAAGCCCCGGAGCCCAGGCAGGCCTGAGGTCAGCGAGGGTGATTCTGTCTGGCCCCAGCAGGGGCTGAGAGCTGGCACAGAGCAGCAGACCAGCTCGCTCTTCCCAGGGCAATTTGTTTCTGCAGCAGCTATAGTTTTGCTTGATTAATAACACCAGATTCGTATATTAATGAACACACAGCAGTGCTGGCTGTAGTCACAAGGTGGACATCTCAGATCAGCAGAGCATTGGTATAGCTTTGTCGTTTACATGTGGTGTAGTTGTTGTGGTGCAAATTATAGCACCTTTACTATACCATGTTCTTTTCACCAGTTGTGGTCTTGTTCCTAATTGATTTGTTTCAACAGAAATAGTGAATGTGTACCATTTCTGATTACTGATGCGTTAAAACCCTGTTGTGTTTTCAGGTGTTTTCCTGGACTTTTGGAGAGGGTGCTGCATGAAAGCTCATCAGAGACATGACGGCGTCTAGCAAGCTGCACAGCAGGCAGTGCCCTAGGTGATCTAGGAGAGCCCTGTCCTCAGGGCAGCATCGGGTCACATGCCTGATTTTTTATCAGGCTCCCTGCTTGTCACAGCGTGCCGTTCTGTAGACAACAATCCCCGTGCCATCGTCCAGAGAGGTGCCAGGATCCACGAGTCACACAAAAGGCAGGTGAAACGTCTCTCCCTTCCCTTCGCCAGCTTGCCAGGAACCCAGCAGCCTGTTCGATCGCTTTCCCTTCTCTCAGGCTGGTGAGAGCTGCTAAAAGGAATACTTTGTTCACCCCCCCAAAGAAAAACAAACAAAAAAGACATTCTTAGTTGGCTACAAAAGAAGAACCTCTTCAGAACATATCAGCATTTATCTCATATGCTTTTCACCGAGGCTGTTTAAAAAAATCTTTAGTGCTAATGGGAATAGCATTGATTTACATCAGTCAGTGACCTTTAGGGGTACCAATAAAAGTATGTGCTGACACTGATATTGTAAAGGATGCAACTTTGTATTCCCACCCTGCAATTCAAGGAAGCTACTGTTACAGGTCAGGGAGATGGCTGGCACAGTGTTTAGCAGGCAGGGGCTGCATGGCTGGAGTGCCCTCTGCTGGAAGACTATAGGAGTTACAGGTCGAGATCAAATCTGGCCCTGGGGTCGGGCCAGCGTGTGAAGTGGTAGCGTGCTCGTGTGAGCTTGTTGTTGGGCAGAATATCCAAGTTCCCCTACGCCAGGAAGTGTCGACTTTACTCCTCGTGGTCGGGATTCATGCTGGTTTTTCAATAAGCAGTTTAGAACCCATAAAGTCAGATGTTTTCCTTCTAATGATTAGTTCAGTTAGTTAAGATCCAGTCCACTGAAGGACTTGAGTTGGCCCATTCCTGGTCTCCGCACATTTATTCCATAGCAACACTGTGGAAACAGCGCTCAAATCCCAGCTCTTCGAGCTCCTTATAGCCATCCCATTGTCTGCAGATTCTCAGGAAACCATACCTAACCTTTAAAGCTCCATGCAGAATTCCACAATTCGCTTCACTCCTGAATTTGGCTGCAAGGATACAATAAATGTGAAAAAGATAAACTCTTGACAGCTGTGAATGCCCTCGATCTTCGCCACCAGGATAGCTATGGCCTACATAAACTGACATGTTTGCAAAACAGCTTCATTTCCAATTATTTATTATCATGTGTCTGGGTTGCAAAAGAAAAAAATAGATGGGGATTTAAAATTCATTTTCTGCTGTGTAGGGGAATGTGTGCTGTATCACCATTTAAAAAAAATACATTCTTATCTGTATACCTGACTGAGTGTCAGTATCACCAGAAGAGACCAACAAATTTAATTTCTAAGCATATTTAAAATCCAGAACTTGAGTGTTCTGTCTTCTTTGCTGAACCTGGAGTCTATATTACTTTACCTGGGCTGGTGCTGTAAATATGCTAGTTACCCAGAAGACTGTGCTCTGAGTGAACGACCAAATCCATCATTTTACCAAATCAAGGTGTTTTTTCCCCCTTTCTGCATCTGCATGGAGGGATAAGGAAAACACAGGAAGCTGTGTGACTATGTGGAGCAACAGCTCCCCCTGCTGGGGTGGGTTTGAAACGTCCTGTGTGTTCACTAGAAATGAATACACAGAGCTAGAGCTTGACCCAGCTGGTCAGCAAGTTTCAGGTGAGAGTTGCACAGACCACACAGGGAACATCTAATGGGTTTACAATGTATGATGCACTGCTGCAGTCCCTGGTAGCCCGGGCAGAATTACTTTTTATCACTTTTACATGTTCTCCTCCGGGAAAGGCAAGCCAGACACCCGTTATTAAAAGAGCGATAATGATCATAAAAAAAGGGCCGGCTTTTTTTAGCAGAAGGTGTGATTTCTCGCCGTCAAGACGAGTCAATAATTCATACAGAACACTCTCACTTTATCTGCTGCCTACCTCTCTGCCACGTCCGCTTTACATCAGAGTGGCCAGTGATGTTTGAAAAGGGTAAGGGCGAATTTTCTTTTTTCCAAATGTATCCCAGACAGTTTTTTTCCCCCTGTGGAATAGTAAAATGCCGGTTCGGATTTAATTCAATACCACACGAAACAGATTTTTCAGGATTACTCCTCCGGAAGACGTGCACGTTTACAGGTCAAGTAGTATACTCGGAGGACAAACCGAATCCTTTGGTTTTCAGTTGTTTTTTTTTGTTGTTCTTGTTGTTGTTCTTTTTCAATTAAGGAGGAAACAAGTACTACATTCTTCAGTATGCAAAGGAAAAACAGCCCTGACCTTAATATAAAGACGTTGGTAACGCAACACCAAGCATAAATCAGAGCAGCCACAAACACTGCAGGGGGCCTGTGCATCTCACATGGGTGGTGATTCCAGAAGGCTGGGGTTCATGTCACAGGCTCTACATTAATACCAAGGGCTGAAAGAATCACAAAAAAGTGATAGACGCTGGTAATTGCATTTCTTTCTCTCAGGTGGTTTATGGTTCAGTCACAATGCAAAATGGAAGGTGATTTCCGTGGGCAGTAACCAGCTGTTAAGTGGTACTAATTGGGTCGAGGCTCAGCGCTGCACAGAAACATTGATCAGGAAACAGCAAGATGAGTGACGGGTTTTAGAATTGGGAACTTGCGAGATCGAACTAGATCAGAACTCGAGATACGGTGCCTTTCACAGCAATATAATTTTTGCCGTTGTTGGCAGGCAGGCTGAGATGAAATCAATACATTTAATCTTGGGAATGTATTTTATCACTACTACATACCTAATTTAAGAAACTGTCACTTTCATCTTTATCAAGGATAGTAAAAAAAAGTGGAAAAAAACTTCTAGGGCCTTTTTTAGTATGTGTTGATGCAGGGATGCGCTGTGTGGCAGCAGTGCACTTAGCTGCATTTTGTTACTAGAAATTTACTAGTAATTTAGCAGAATTAAGTGTCGCTGTAGTTCTGCCACAGAACATCTGTACAGCTGTGCCTGTAGGTAGGTGCCTTTATACACTTAAACATATAAAACATATTCTAAACATATTTGATTTGTTATCATTTCATAATTTTTACAAACAAGATTTTACAAATCCATCACATGATAGGATGTTTGGTTTTCTGAATAGGAGTTGCTATGATTGACAGCAGTACAATTAAAATTAGTCCAGTATAACTGCAAATGATGTTGCACCGTGATTTAACAAAATCTTACCGCAGTTCTAGTTATGATTTCAATTGCGAGAGTTTCTGTCATTTTAGCCGTCACTGTAATTAGAACTGACCACCGGGTCATCATCATTTTCAACTAAACAAGAGTATAAATTTGCAGACTATGAGGCTCCCTAGCTTGAAATGAACGACATCTCATTATGTTGACTAGTGAAGTATCATTTGTGACCTTGTCCTTGGAGTATCTGGAAAGGAATTGGAGTTGACATAAGTCTGCAAGGTATTAATTGGTTCCCTACTGGGGGCTTGATATGCCATGCAGGAGTTTTAATTGTGCTTAACCAGATCATAGAGCTTTTTATCTCAAGTTCCCGACACAGTTACATGTCTTGCACATAATTGAAGTTTCTTATGAGCTATCTAGAGCCATTGTCCTTACTATCTGTGCGAAACCACAGTGTGTTTCATTAAATTCATTTGAACACAGGATGGCTTAAATGATCAAAACTGAGAAGAGATCATTCGGTCTCTCTTGATCATTTGGTATCTGTAAGCTTATCAACCTGAAGATCTCATTCAGGGTATCGACTTCAACATCACAACTGGGCAAGTACTGAGGATAAGAGGTGGCCAGCCATGATCCAGTCTAGCAAGCTTCATGGATCACCCTTGAAGGGAAACTGCAGTCCCAGTTTCACAGACTGGTTATTAACTCTCGGTAACAAAATCAATTAATTGACGGCGAAACTTGACAAATTCCGAATTAAGCGCAAAATCGTGAACTTTGTGAAAGTAGTTTTGTCAGCATTTTATTGCAAAGCACAGGTCTCGCTATGCTCAGGTGTGAGTTTGCACACATTGCTATATGCTAAATAGCAGTCCTTCCTGCTCACTAATGTGATATACGAGCGAATGAGTATAAGTTGCGCATCAGACATTTCACCACAGAAATGCTCCAACATGATCTGCATACAGAGTTAACAAGTTGTATATGTCGGCAAAACCATCATGAAATCGAGAATAGTATTCCTAATGCATTAAAAGAGATGTATTCACAAGCCTGCTTGTTTGCAATATGATAAGGCTGCTTCACATCACTGGAAGTTTTGTTGCCTTGTTCTGAAATGCATAATATAGTGCTGCACATAACTGGAAATGTTGGCTATTTTGTGATGTGAATTTTACAGGTTACTGTGTACATTTTGCTTGCATTGTGGTTTGGAATGCACTCATCAATGCTGATTCTTTCCAACCCTGATACTATTGCAGTTTCCCTTTAAATAATCATATTCTATGCACTTGGACCAACTTGATTTTGACCAGTGATTTTTCCCTATTATGGAGAGTAAGAGGGCAGTAGGTAGAGACGATATGTGTCCCACAAAGCTGTGGAGCAGGACCTGCCATCTTCACTCACCTGACCACCTGCTGGAAGGCCATTGGTCAGGTGACATTTACAAAAACCGAAAGCAGAGCCACCCAGTTGCCTGTCAACCTCTGTTCTCCTGGGAGGGAAAGAGGGAGCAAGGAAGTGACCGAAGAACGTGACCTTTAGGATTTTTTGGAAAAGTGTGGAGATTTCTGTTTTGAAACCTGGTGAGTATCTATCTTACTAGGGAGGGTGTGAAGACATTGAGATAGAGACTGTCTTACAGAAGGCCATCTTAAGAGTTGTGGGCCATGGAGATGAGTCAAGTGTTGGTGCCGATTTTTCACCCTGAAAATGGTGCCATGAACAAGGCTGTGCCCTCTTCTGACTGGGCAGGGTATGACATGAAGCTAGAGAAGCTCGGGTCTAGTGAGAAGCAAGGAGCATGAGTGTTTTTTGCAGTGTGATATCCCCTGCGTCAAGGGGATTCTATTTTTAATTCTCCTGCAAAGACCATGTAATGAAATTTCAATGAGATTCCTGGGTAGTAAACTGTAATTTAACTGCAATTAATGCACCCCTGGAATGTAGCGCTTCCAGACTAAGAGAGCATGTAGTGCAATGCATGGATTAAAAAAGACAGTGCTACTACTATGTGCCACCCGGGACCTACTGGGTGCCTAAATTGAATTGATCAGCAAATTCTGCACAGACAAGAAAACATTGGTCAGTGGTACCAGGGCTCTGGCATGTTTGTTTTGAAACGTTAACGACAAGGTCAATTGCTTTTTTTGTTGCATGTATTGGTTTTTAAAATTAGAATCAAGTCACTCCTAAAAACAGTTGCAGATTTCTTTGGCAGAACCTTATACAGACTCTTGCTCTTGCCGTGAAGCCTATTCCCTGTGTCTTGTGATTGCGAGGATGAGGAGGGGTGAGGGCTCTCTTGACTGTGAGTCCACACCTGCGCAGCTTGGTTAACGGCTCACTCCGCAGGGGGGTCTGGAACGCCCCATCCAGTGGCCGGTGGTCTGCTCTTTACACAGGCCGGCTAAGCCAACACTTAAATGACTCAAGAAGCATCCTCAAATATCTTCAAAACATTCGTTGTTGTACACCTTGTGAAAATCTGAATGGGTAAGTCTTGGACTACGTCAGATTGGACAGAATAGGATCACACAAGCTGACGGGAACAGCAAAAGTGAAGAAAAAAACAAAAGTAGAACATATTTTAAGAATTCTTGGTTTTTAAAGTAGAAGTTATTTGTTTTTTTTTGTTGGCTCTCTCCCAATTAGGGTTTATGAAGGTCCATCTAATTTCTGTTCAGAAAGAAATGTCTCCTCTTTTGTTTCGTTGTCAGTTGGAAGATTTCTCAACGACTGCGTTTCATGATTTTCAGTCAGGTCAGTCCATATCTGCATCACCCCTCTGCAGTCTTCATTTGAAAGTGTTTTCTAAACAAAATCTGTTTCCTCAGTGCTTGTTTCCTATCTATTAAATTTACTTCTGTTATGTAGCATGACATGAAAAGCCTCCACTCTAAGTAACCTGACTTTTTGGCTCTTATCCTCACAGATGTATCACCTCTCTGGGCTTTTTTAGCCTGATGGTGACCAAGCTTTTCATGAGCCATGCTCCACAATGAGCCTATCAGTACAAGACCTCTACTCCCATGTGCACGAACCACATGCACTGGCAAATAGATGCAGAAAACGTGTGTGATAGGAGGGGAAGAAGCAATGTATTACTATAATTAGCAAGTACAGTGACATTAAACTCACCCGACAGGGAACCGCTTCATGTGATAGATACAGAGATCAGTGCACCCTCATGCATTAAAAGTGTGTTGATGATAAAGTGGAAATATTATAACCTCTTATAATATATTAATCTGCCCTTTACTTGTGAAAAGAACAGAACCAATCTTGTCATCTGGAATATGTTTGCTTTCCCCCATGGCAGTTTGTAAGTATTCAGCTTTTTTTCACTGTAAATAAGTGCCTTGCTTAGTTTTATCAACGTACTGCAGATGTAAGGCATTTATTTTGCTGTCTGTAAAAATGTAAAGTATTTTTTTATTTTAGCGGCACTCAAATTTAAACACACGTATATTGCACAGATATGTTTTTAGATGCAATAAAAACAAAAGCCTTACTGGTTGACAAAATGAAGGAATCCTACTGCCTGACCACTGTCGAAAGAAAATCAAGTATCCCTTCCAATGTCCTGGAATGAGAACAAGTTACTGTATTGTCCAGCTGCACTGGAAGGACAGGAATGAAGCCAAGCCAAGGATGCTGGGATAGTGGTGTCCTGGCCTGCTGGCCTGCTCTGGAGCACAAAGGAGCAGCCGATGAATGATGGGAGAACTGGATTTCTGTGTTGAAAGGGAAACATGCAGAAATGGACTATTAGAACAAACATCACTCTCCTGAAGTCAGGAATATCTCCTGTGTGTTGTAAGAGTTTCTGTTTACTGCTTATATCTACAGAGTTTCTGTTGTAATTATTGCAGTTTCAGAGGTCTACGAAACAGCAGTTTATAGCACAGCTGCACTCAAGATTTTAAGTACAACATATCGTGAACTGCCTGGCATCTAAGAAGAGTTACCTTGCTGCTGATGCTGAAACATTTAAAAAGTGTACCCAGTATACTGCAAACATGTAAGACTGTGGGCTCCGAAACTGGCAGCAGAGAAACTTACCTGAAAGTGGCTGTTGAAGAGTCACTTCTCTGGACTTTTTAGCCTGATGGTGACCGAAGTGTTCGTGACCCAAGCTCCATAGTGACCTTTCCAAAACAAGATATCTTTCCCAATATGTTTGAACTTCACATATCGCACTCCGGGTCCGTAGTTTCGGAAAATGTAGGTGATCTGCCAAAACAACAGCGGGAATAAAACGACGGATTACTCTGAGTCCTGATGATAAAATGGAAGTACAGTATTATAATTCCCTTAATTTATGGGTCTGCCCTTTACTTTCTGCAAGAGTAGAACCAAACCCATCAGTCATGTGGAAGTGTGGAAGGTGTTCTACAAATATGGTGTAGCTCAATATATTTTAAACATGACTGATGTGATGGTAAGTGTACTATCATGTGATTTGCACTTCCTTTAACACTGCTTTAGAAACTATTAAATGTTCTGCTCACTGACCATCTGTTTGAACCAGAGGTGCAGAAAAATCAGAGTGATACTTATCTGCCTACTAGTGTTTCCAACAAAAAAATAAGACTCTTGTCAGCGCACCTGGTCCCACTGTTGAAAAGGCAGAACAGGTATAGTTCTGAGGTCTGTAGTGTATTCCTTGATGATCTTGTGCTTGTTGGCTCCCAGGAGTTGAACAAACATCTGGTACTCCCCTCCACAGTCTCTGTGTGCTGAAAACCTTTTAACAGACAAAGGAAAGCAGGATGTGAACTCAGCTCAGTTCTTTATAAAAAGACTGGCAGCCCAGAGTGCAAAGCAGCACAAAGAGGCCCTTTGATTCAGTACAAGATGCAAATCATGAGCCCTTCAGGTCAAAGCGAAAAAAAAAGATACATCATCTCCCACAGACAATGACGGAGAAACTTGTTTTAATTAAAAGAAAAGGCAGCATCCTGCTGACACTACTGTGGTCTCCAACACTCCTTAAAGGTCAAGAAATTAACAAATTGCAGTTCTTGAACTGGTAACACCCATGACTACTACCAAAGTCCAAAGCGCTACTTCCAAGTGTCATTATCATTAAGAACTCACCAGTCATTCACTGTAATCTCGGGCTGGTATTCGTCCAGAATCTTCTCCCAAAACCCTTCTTTTAGCAGGTCAATGGTCTGGGATTTTTCACACCAGCTGCAATGAGACATGTCATTTTTAAATTCACAGGTCTGCAGGGTCTTCATGAGAGAACTAAACACACTTGGACGCTCATAATGATCCACCATAATTGTTAACCACAATAAAGGTTTTGGAGGTCTATTTATAGTCCCAATCACATTCCAGCTTCCCCTAGATTACTGTGTGCTGCCAAATCAAATGTAAGCTTTTAGGGAGACAAGGTGTGGATTCCACAGAGATTTACAAACTACACTGGTCAAATGCTTGATATTTCCCATTTAGACCACCTTTTATCATAACTGGGTGATAAGCCTGCGAAAGCTAAAATACAGATTCCACTGATAAATACAGTACCACAGAGAAGAAACGGAGGGAGAACTGATTTGAAATATTATTGGGTTTTTGATTGGGTTTTTGATCCAATAGGGACATGAATGTTGAATGAAAAAGGCTTTTACATCTTGCCAAATTATATCAACCACTTCATGTTACAGACACAACCAGACTAACTGTAATGAATGAGATTTTTGTTTTGGAAAGTTATTTTAGTGCCCTCGTTGGGTGATGAGGAGGTGGCGCACCTGGGTAGTGCTTGCAACGCAGGGCAGGCTGGGAGTTATAGCCAGGATATGGGGCGTGAGAGTGCATCTCCTGGCTTTATAGGTAAATAATCCCAATCGCATCTGTGTAAACAGCAGCTTAGTGTTTACCTGTTATTGTCTGTTATTATCCCTTAATTTGCAACCACCCTGAGTCTGTGTACATTTCCGATTACCTCCCTAGTGTACTGTATGTGTCAACCCTTAGTACGAGTTTGTCTGTGTTGCTCATAGCTGGCTGATGGAGGCTTAATAAAAAGTGCTTATGTGCCAAACAAGGGCGTTGTCTGGTTTCTTTTTTTGCGCGAACCCAAATTCACTACAATTGGTGTCAGCAGTGGGATGGGACTGCCCTTCGCCGAGGTTGGCAACTTAAGCGAGGGAAAGTGTAACGAATACGCCCCTGCGCATAACAGGGATCTTGGCCGCCAGGGCTGAGGAAGGTCTTCTTTAGCTCAGCCAGCAAGACCCCTGTTGAGTGACGCCGGAGACCTGGGCTCACGCCCATGCAGTGAGGGACGAACTGGGGTGGGGAGCAGCGAGGGCACAAGCCCGAGAACCCGAATCTGATACATTATATTTAGCCAGCAGCTATTTCACCCCACAACTCACAGCTGTCAGCCCACTGAAGCTCAGCAGGTGGGACCCTGGCCAGTACCTGCATCGGTAAAGCTCAGGTTGCTGCTGGTAGAGGTGTTAGTGTGGCCAGTAGGGGGTGCTCTCCCTGCAGTCTCTGTGGGTCCTAATGTCCCAGTATAGTGATGGAGACACCATATGGAAAAAGGCACCGTCCTTTGAATGAGACCTAAACCAAGGTCCTCACTCATTAAAAAATCGTTCGGCATTTCTTTAAAAGAGTAGGGTGTTACTCCAGTGTCCAGGCCAAAATTCCCCCAGACCTTCACCCATCATGGTCTACTAACAATCCCCCATCTCTGAACTGGCTTCAGCACTCTGTTCTCCTCCCCACTGAGAGCTGGTGTGTGGGGAGCGGACTGGCGCATCGTGCAGATGGGGCTACACATTGGTGGTGGTGGAGGGGAGACCCCATGACCTGTAAAACACTTTGAGTGAATTGTCCAGAAAAGCACTATATGAGCTTTAATTACTATTATTACTACATGAAAAATTGGCTTCTAATAATCACTTTACAATTCTTGTGTAACTACACAAGCTCTGTAGATGTTGGGTTGCTCAGATGGATCCTGTTTGATTTCTTCTGCTGTGAGATGGGCTCAGCTTTGATAGAACAGTAAGTAAAAAGGTTGTAACTGTGCGGAACCTTGCCTCTCTCAATACACCTACAGTATGGAGACAACATAGGATCTACTTCTCAGGCATCCTGGTGTTCAATGTATTTTACTGTCCAAGTTGAAAAGCTACCCAGTTACCCAAATTACTTACTAGATGCAGTATCCAGAGAACTGAAACCTGACAGTGACAGATTTCCTCTTCACTGCTGGATTTGGCCATCATTCGTGTTTTCTAGAACCGCTAAACAGAATTCATGCCAGCGGCTGCAGAGAGCTGGTGATGAATGTCTGTTTAATCAATAGTGCTTAGAATGGACCTCACGTGGGTGCATAATTCCTTGCAGCTAACTGTATGTCTATTATTAAAATCGGATGGAGTTTTCTAAAAAAAAAAAATAGATCTATTAATATTCTATAAATCCCACGTTGCGTGTGCAGCTCTGGAGGTTAGCTGCCGTTTTAATTAATTTCCACCTTGCAAGGCGACTGTACTTGCCGTGGAAATACAGCCTTCTGAGACGCAAGCTCAGTCCCCGGCCAATTCCCCTGCAGTGTAACGGAATTAACAGAGGAATGCCTAGGGATAGTTGTTTTTTGTTTTGTTTTTTTGTGTTTTTTTTTTTTTTGGGGGGGGG